TTAGTCTCTCTATTGCAGCTGGGGAGAAGAAGAGCTGGAAAGACCTGCAGTCGACTTTCTTTGTCTAGCGAGGGTTACACAGTATCTGAAATATAATTTGCTGTGCCTCAACTTGACCCTGACGTGACGTTTTTTTTCGTTGTAGGAATCGCGATCTCATGTTTATCTCATAAAGAAACTAGAAGATTACAAGGTCAAGGTTAGACATAAATGAACGCGCAGCATTTTGTGTGGAGCTACATTTACTTCTTTGACGCTTTGTACAATATTTCATCTATAGATCTGATCATGCATTGCTAATTTAATTCATGAGCCGGTCTTTTTTGCTTCTTCTAGGCACAGGAAAGGCAGAAAAAGCTGGAACTAGAGCTTGCTGAATTAAAGAACAAGGTAACACACGTAACCCTTTACACCCAAACTTCAGTATATCCATATTCTCCATACTGTTATAAATCTATACATTTTCTATGGTTCTGACAAGGAGAATTCTGTTTACAAGCCAAGAGCTCCTTCAGTTGTTGATCATTTCCTCTATCCTCGTGACCTAAATGTTTGCTTCTGCAGTGACTGTTCAGCAGAACGTGACGTTGTGTTACATCTACTGTATTTAGAAATGAGTGACAGGGATCAAATGTCTAGCGCTTTTTTGGAGTTTTTTGCCTTGTTTAGACCGAGTATTCGCCATGGAGGTTTTGTTTCTCAGTCAAAATAAAGCAAAACGTTGAGTTTAACCGCGGATGTATTGAGTCGTTCTCAACAGTGACATTGTAAGGAGAAATCAGCTGCTAGTCATTCTTAGGGTTAAAGGGTAAAAAGGAACGGATTAAGAATGTTTTTAAATTTAAAAAAATTGTCAAACCCTAGAATCGGTTGGCTATGTGACACTTAACAGTTGATAATTAAATTGCTTCTGTTTTTTTTTGTAGTATATGATGAAAACAAATTCTTTGAAAAAGCAAAATGAGGAGTTTCAAAACAATTTTATGAAGGTGAGCAATGATTTTAATGAGCTTGAAAGTGCTATTTCGCTGTCTTCCGTGAACTCCTTTTCTTTTGTAAATATATATCTAGTCATAGGAAATTTAAAAGCCCATAACGATCTTAACTTGAATACTCCTTTTCTTCTTGACCCTGTTTTTAAGACATATTTGTTTTTTCATGTGATGTGTTCAGCTCATCCAGAATTGAAGTCAGAGTAACTCATAATTTGTGTGGGGTGGGTGTGTTTAAACATGTTTGTTGAATCTAACTCAACAGGAAAAAGAAGTGTTGCTCAGTAGGATTAAAGATGCTGAGTTACTCAAGGTAAGATCACTCCTTTACAGTCTTCTCTTTTGAAGAAGGTCTAAATGAAGGGTAGAGGCGAGGCTGAACATTTTGTAAGCGATTTGAGTTGGAAAAGACAAAATTGACGTTACTTCTTTTTGTTCTTCACTTTCACCACAGGAACAAGCAGAAAAAGAGGTAACCAGCAGTGAACAGTCTTTAAAAGCTTTGTCATGAGTTTTGAATCAAATTGATGATTTATTGCGTTGACAACAATGCTAGTGATAATATTTTAAAACAATTTTACTTATGTGACGGAATTTTTCTCTTTGTTAAAAGAAAAAAGTCAGTTCGAGTTTTTTTTTACTTTAATATGAAATTGTCAAACTGGCAGGGCACAAGTCTCGTCTACGAGTATGATGTGCAATTTTAAGCGTGTAATTTACATCAGGCAAATCAAGATAAACATGAAAAAAAAAATCAGTAGTCGCCTTTGTTTCTCGATTTATCTGAATGCAGTCTATTTTAGTCTTACCGAGTCCCGTATTGGCTTTTCTGTCTTTTTTAAAAGTTGTTCTCCCCCTGCTGGGCACTATTTTTTAATTTTAAGATATCTTCTATTTTGATTTTTTAGGCTGAACAGGCAGTTCTGCAGCTGGTGAGTTTATTTCTGTTTTACGTCTTTTGCAGCAAGCGGGTTAACGAGTTTTATGAAGTAGGTTTTACACGAAAAACGCAGGAACATCAATTGGGAAAACAAACTAAAAGTCAAATGGAACGGATGACAAGACGCACCCTTTTGAAACCAATAAGTTATTTGAAAAGTGAATTGAATAGTAACACTTGTATTATTTTTTTATTTTTCAGGAAGAGATCCTCTCCGAACAGGAAGAAATGGTAAGAAAACGAACTCGATTTGAGAGGCCACCTTTAGGAAAGCTGCGAGTACCTGCTTGAAGGGGCTTTAACCACTACCCCAAAGACTGACAAACATCAAATTTCAATTTCACCAATGAATCATACAATAAAGTCATAAAAATAATGGAAAAGATCGCCGACTGAAAAGGTTCTTGATTGTCAAACAAATTCTCTTTGTCGGTGCCAATGGAAATGGAAGGAAAAAAGTATGGAGAATATACTTACTGAACAGAAGTTAGGGTGAGATGATTCGCGGTGAAGAACCTCAGAAGAAACGTTTGTGTATCGTTAAGTACAGAGCACGAACTCATTTGTGCTGTGTTGCAACATGAAGACAATGTTGCTGGTCGTGTGTTTGAACTTTGTTTCTCACAAATACCAAAACAAAGTATAACCAAATTACCTTCAGTAATTTGCCTCTCTACAGCGGTAAACATCTACAGGAAAATTTTCATCGAAACCGCTTGGAGGTGGTTACGACCTTTGAAAAGCGGTTGCCGCCTCATAACCGGATTTATATTTGAGAATTGTGTTCAAAGCTTCTATGGAACGTTGGTACTATATTTCCTGGGCATGGTTCGATTTAGTTTCTTTTTAGCGGCTTCTTCAGTGCCCACCCCCCTCCCCCCCCCCTGGGGAAAGGGACGGGGAAGACTAAGAACATATTTAAAAGTACATTTTTGTTCACCCACTTTCCAACCTACTTGTACCTAATGAAGAATTTTTCTTCACAGAGACAACTCAAGGAGATAGGTCTACGGGATAAGCACGAAGAGCAGACCATGACTGGCTTGTCACTCTACGACAGACGTGAAGAGGAAACGATGACAAGCAACTCGATATTTAACAAACAAGAACAAGAAACCATGACTAGTAAATCTCTGGCAAACATGCGTGAGGAACAGACTATGACCTCCATGTCTCTGGGGACAGACCAAGAACAGGTACTTTTAAAAACAGTTACTCTCCTTTCTATGCTGATGTCTATCAGTGGGCTAGCATGGCTTCAACCTGGTGTTTTTCAGGGACAACGTCAACTCAGTAATTTCCAACTCCAGGTTATTTGATTTTGTCAGAATTCATACTCTGAGGTTGAATCATCGAGACTGATGATGGTTTCCGAAATTTCCCAGCTAGTGAGACCGTCAGTATTATAGAGGTACCTACCCTTCCCTTCTTCCCGCCGGTTTCTTCCCTTACTGACTCGAGTTCTACTCTGATTTGTTTCCATTGCAGATCAGTGATTCAAAGAGGCATCAATCCGGGGGCAGTCAGTCGTCGCGCCAGTCATCTGCTCATTTGATAGACAGTAGAATACAGGATCAAAGTGCCGAAAGAGGTCTGAGTCCACGTGACAGTGGTTTTGATGGAGCCGCTTCAAGTCTCAAATTTGACTCAAGACCGAGTTCATCTACCGTGAAGTTTTCCTCAGATGAGGTTAGCTACTAGCGCCTGTTGTACTTAGAGTTATTTCGTGTGCTTTTGAGAACCGTGTGCAAGAGAGTGAAACGAATAAACTTGCATCTCGTCTGCACTTACGAAGCTAAGAAGGTAAGCTACGAAGCCACACCTTGGGAGCGAGGTGAATTTTTATAGGGTTCGTGTTTCCCGCAGAGGATTTATTTCATGAAATAAATTTTATGCGACCGGCGGATAAAAATTAAGTAAAGCAATGATCCTCGCAGGGTGGGAGCGAAGCAAGTGGTGATGCTTAGTTGGTAGTAGCGCCCAACTAGACAAGCTTCAGTACAATGAGCGAAATGGCTGGAGTTCAAACCCTTTACCGACTTAGTCCTCTTCTTTTGCAGCAACATCCTCGAGAACGGAAACCAACGATGCTGTCACCCCCTCAGCAGACAAGACCTGCCATGAGTGCCAGGGCTCGTAGGCGGCTCATAAACTCTGCTCTTGGCGATCATCCAGTGGCTCAAGAGACAGTGCGGACATACGAGGCAGTCCTGTCGTTTAGTCGTAACATTACGCAGTGGTTGGACAGCGAAGGGCTTAGTGAAGAAGCTGACCTGGTGAAACGTGTACAGCCTGTTGTTCTCAACCAGGTGAACTGGAAAACTATTAAGAAGTAGTATCTGTAACAATACTTGCTGTAACGACTTCCTGGTTTCTTGGTTGTAAAGTCTTCCCTTAAGAGATTATTTCTATTTTATCAGTTGCTGTGGGCATGTTTTTGCATATCTTTTTGTTTGGTATTTTGTTTGTTTGTTTGTTTGTTTGTTTGTTTTGGCTCTTATATGCCTAGCGTTTCGGTAAAAATTCTCTCAACCTTTAATGTATTAATAAAGTGTTTGACTCGTGCCTTATCTCGTCGTATATTTGTACACAGGATGACACAATGCAGGTAATAGAGTGTCTGCCGGAGATACGTGGCAGTATTGACCAGGTCAGTGCAGAGAACCACAGTTGTCGTCCACCAACGCACCTACATTCTTCCACAAGAAAATATATACATATTGGTTTATTGTGTAAATACACTTAGCTTTTATTAGTCTACAGTGACAAACACTCGTAAGCTACTTTTCAGGTATAACACATTTGTGTTAGTTGGGTAATGAAATTTCCTTATACAAGTTTTGTTCAACAAAGATGCAAATGTTTGATTTTCTCTCTATAATACTGGTGTTGTTTTAGATTCTAAATCAGGTGGGCAGTGTTTTGTCCAGTCAGCACCTAGCACGATCCATACCTGTGGACATGAAGAGTGTAGGATTAAATTCCCCGGAACCGAAAACGCAGCAAGAATGGAGACCGAAGAGTTTTAAGGTGAGCAATTATTTGTGGCTTAACAATTATTTTTCATGGTTGCAGTGAAAAGGAACCTTTCAAAAGTATTCTTTAAAACCTCAAGGGATGAATTGATTCACTATAATGGTCACTATCGCAGCGGTGGATTATTATTCATTTTGTTTCCTTTCGTTTCTTGCTTCATCTTAAGCAGAAGGAAGACTTAGGAGACGCATCAAGCATGGAATCCAATTATGTTAAGCTGCTGAAGGAATACAACGATTTGGCTGAGGGTTACGAGGGTCTTCAACGACACCTTGATGAGGAAACCAAGTTTCACCAGGAACAAACCAGTCAGAATGTGGCAGTCATGACTGACATGCAGGACACGATCACACAGTTGAGGAATCAGCTGGCAGAATTGAGGAGCACACGGTCCGCTTCATCGGAGGTATGTTACGTCCTAGTAATTTAACATCCTCTCGGAAAGTTAGTTTAAAGTTAAAACAGTTAAGCAAATAGGAAAGATGTAAAAGATCTGTTTCCACCGCCAGAGGGGATTAAGGAAAAAAAAAAACGTAGTCTCATTGAAGTGACATGCTGATCGCTTTTATGAATGAAAGGGTTAACATTATTTGCTTAAATCTCTCGTGCTATTTTTTGACCGATCACATACTTAATGGCTATTACGCGTGTAAGGCATGCCTCCAGCTGACAAGGACTACTCTTGACTGTGTACTCAAAGTCCAAAGTAACCAGTAGTAGCTCGTCATGTCAATTAATCTTTCGATTGTGTTTGTTGTCGCAGCGTGCAAGTTCTTCCATCATGTTCACACGACTCGACGCAGAGAGAAACGGAAAGATCCTTAAGCGTGCTGTGAATGAGAGGAGATTATCCGACAGCAGCTTCTCTGTGATCATGGAACACATGGACAACTATGTTAGTTTACCGGCAAAGAGATTGGCGCATATTGTCAGGCGGTATAGTCACCACCGAGCTATGAAAAACATTGGTAGGTTTGCAGTATTTTTTCTTCTCCAAAACAGACGGCGTGGTGCAAAGGTCCTAACTCGTCCCGCAACGGCGCGACCGCGTGTTAAAAGTAACATACGACTAGGGACGAGTCAGTCACAGATCCACTCTCTTCCTGTGGGCCCGCATTTCAATTCAGCTGGCGTACAAGACGATTCAGGGTATCGTAGCACCTTAAGAAGAACCGCAAAAAGGTAAAGTGAATCTTGATTTGTTTTGAATCACCAAGAGCAGTGTTAACAGCAAGGACGCCTTGTTATTTCTGACAATAATTGATAGTTCTGGGCTCCACCTGTGGGCGTGGATAATTCTGGTTTTACCTCCCAGTTTAATTCTCTATTTCTTGCATCGGCATTCTTTTAGAGAATCTCATCTCTTCAAGAACAAAATCCGAAAAAGATCGGTTCTGTTGATGACAAAAGTAAAAAAGAAACTTATAAATTCGGCTATTTTTTTGTCCAGATATTTTACCGAATTAGGGGGTAAAACGATGCCCTAACTGACCTTGAATGTCATATCTTTTCAGAGCAAAGTTTACAACAAAGTGGTAGTCTTGACGAAAGCGTGTTTTCAACCCTGGATAAAATGGAAGCTTTACAAAACACTCGCGCTCAGAGATGGGGCAACCAAATGGACAAGTATGCGTTCGAGCGTGAGCAACTGGCGGAGCAGTTAACGTCTTGTTTTGAAAACTTAGAGCAAGAGACAGGGATCTTTCTCATCAAACCTGTTTATTCTCTGAAAGGAAGGTGAGAAAAGAAATCTAGACAGGCAAATTACAAATAAAAATTGAAATAAATCGTTTTACAAGTGGATGACGTAATGATGCTAATAAGTAAAATGCAGTTGGAGAAACAAAATCCTTAAAAAACGGAAATCAGGCTTCTAGAGATAATTTGGATATATCAACAAAGTTGAAATGGTAAATTGGCCACCGTAACGATTACAAAAGCTGACGTATCGAGCGTTAGCCCTTCGTCGGAGCGAATAGAGGAATTGTGCGTTGTGAGTGCTTTTAAAGACAGAAAATGGAGCCACTTTATTGGTGGGAACATGGCAACGAGAAAAACACGAATAAATTAGTGGAATGAAAAGGGTTCGTTGATCCCTGTGGGATTTAGACTGCCGGTTTGAAAGATGAGCTTTTGTTCAAGATTTTTACGGCTTTCCGTGCTACCTAAGTGTAAGGAAAGACTGCAGATTGCCATATGTTTCTTAGAATGATCAGGCTTCTAGAGAGATTGAAGCAGTGCCTCCCAGACATCATTTAGGCTCTGCTGTCAACAGGCCTTTACCCGACGTTGGCATACTTTCACTTTTTAAGCGAGTCCAAGACAGTGGCTTGTGATATTACGAAAATAGTAATGAGGCCACATATCGGGAGAAAGGCAAATTGTGCGGGGTTTTTTGTTCGTCTTCAACAGTATGTTTAAGTCGATTACTTTATCTCAACAGATCTGAAGTGAATGGTGGACATGTTGTGGCCCAGAGGAACAAACCCTCCCCAGTACCACCCAAGCCCAGCGGTCCAGCAACCCCAGCACCAACTCCATGGCAAAATTATGGATCCAAAGCACCAATATCAGCAGGGCTCTATCGTGATCTCACACAAAGTTCCCTCGCTAGAGCTGGCTCCTCAATCCCTGCAGTGGCTCAGTTGGAGGATGGTACAATGAGGATGAAGGTCACACAGCCCATGGACAAAGAGGGCCTGTTAAGCTCTTCAGCTGGTGTAGCGTGGCAGGCGTCCAAGTCCCAAGTGTTGGGTTCTCTTTCAACTGCTGTGCAAATCAGTACGCCTAGAATTCTAGAGCTGGACGTTAATCGAATGATGATTGGACAGACAGATGTCAGGTATGTTCTAAACGATTTCTGGATCTGTTACAGGACAAGCGTCTTATCGAGCTCATTACTTGACGCATCTTGATCCCCAGCGGTCAACTATCCAACAGCTTCAATTATGTGATTCTTGAAAGTGTTTATCGTTTAAGCTTCTGGGAATTATGTAAATCACCCCTTCCATTTGTAGAAAAATAGACGGCTTTCAACTTGAAGAGATCACAGCAATGCAAGCAAGAACATTTCCGTTTATTTAGAACGATTTTGGAATACGTTGTTCCTTTAGTATGACCTAGTGAGTGTCGTTATTCTTTATTTTTCACCACAGTAAGCACATTTTCCCTCCTGATGACTCTGGTGAAATGACAGGCTCCGCTGTAAGGAGTTACGTTACAGTAGAGCGACCATCAGGTGGTAAACAAATCCGGAAAGCCAAGCAAGTTAACCTAGGTGAGCCGATCAGTTAAACGGACGGAAGTCAATAACTGGCTGTGTTTCATTAAACTAATATGTAGTGTTTGAATAAAAAGGGCCATGAACCGTTCATGGCTGTCGTGGTATATTCTGTGTTCTCTCTGTGCAGGGCTCGACACTAACTTTTCAACTTACTAGTCAGGTGGCAAGTGACATCTTAAATGTTACGACGATTTCAGTTTGTTTACTAGCCAAACTGGCTGGTGGAAATGGAAAACCACTTTCCAAAACTGAATTTCTACTAGTCTGGGGCTAGTGGGCTACCGTTAGTGTGGAGCCCTGTCTGTTGTTTCCTTCCCAGACACTATACTTACGTGCACAGAGTTCATACAGAGTCATTAATTCGCATAAAAAATATGGAAATGTGCATTTTGTGAACGTGGGAAAAGAAAAATTGGGAAAAGATGTCGTGGAGTTTCTCCAAACTTCATTATAATCTTAATTACTGGGTGAAATATTTGTTTGGCAGCTGAAGTTTCGCTCATGTAGATGACTCACGCCAAAATGTGTTGTTTGTGCAGTGGGGGAATTTTTCAGTTTGGGAAAAAACCACAACCACTTGTGTGTCCCACCCGTGTGATTTGACCGATAACCTTTAGTGCGGATAATGAGAGTGATGATAAGGAAATAGATTGAAAAGGAGCTAGTAATAAAATGAGAAGTTCATTGCCGGAGAACTGTTGAAGTTACATTTGTTAACCTATCAACTGTAGTGACACATTTTCTGTTTATTTTTTCAGCATCGCAGAGTTATTCTGCACCTAATAGTGCTCCAGACAGCAAGCCTCTGGGCCGTCCTCACAGTGGTCCTCAGTTGACACATTACTCTCCCCTCCCTCCCATACACATGCCCAAGTTACGCCAGGAGTCTCGGTCAGGCAAGTCACTTGAGAGTGAGACTGTAACCCATTCAGATGCTGGAACACCTGTGTTGGGGACGAAGTTTGAAGGCACCAGACCCAGTACAGGTGGAGCCATTAATGGACAAGACAATCATATAGGAGTTATCTCTCCTGAGATTTTACCTGTTAGATAGCGACGTTTGAACCTCGATTGTTTCTGAGTATTAAAATAATAAGAGATGTAAAATGACTTTGTAAAGAAATTTGCTTTATCGTCAGAGGTTCGTAATCTAATTGTTTTAAGATTTCGTGCAATTTTATTTTTCGCCTTGGTAGTCGGAAAGGGACATATATTGGGCCATATTTGCCCACTGTTAGTTAAGAATGGTAGAAAAGACACCATTTAACGGAATTTTTAACTCTCCACCATTACGAAGTTTGTATCTAAATCCACTTCTTACAGTGGTGTGAGATTCCAAAGAGTTACATGGCCTTTCGAAAGTTGTCCTGAGATCTAATGAGAATGCGATTTTGGATGAAAAGAACTCAATTACCTGGCAGCACACGTACAAAGTCACAGAGTTCAACCTAGATGAAGGGTACTACACCGCACGGTTCACTGGCTTGGTGGTCGCAAAAACGTATTTGAAGCAACAATACCTTTTTGCGTAATTCTTAATGGTTCAAAAAGATGAAGAGGAGGAATAGACGTCATAGGGTAGCAGAAGGTTGCTGAGCAAGATTTCAAATGGCGGCATCTGCAGCGGATTTTAGACTCTTTTGAAGGCAAATATCATGCAGTAAGGAAGGTCTTAAGAAGCTGAAAACGCACTCAGTGTCAACAATGTATGTATAGTACCGAAAGAAAAACTTAAAAGGTTACAAGAGAGTGATTGTGAAAAATTATTGAGTGTAAAAATGTTATCTTTGTTATGAAACTAATGTTGACACTTATGGAGAAAGAGAAACGAAACTGTTCACTTGGTAGGCTACAGCACTCCACCGGATCAAATCTTCCGGAGACTCTACTCAGTAAATAACAGTAAAAGAAAACAGAATATTATTAAATAGAAAAAATATCACTGTAATTGATGTTGATGTTGTTGTGATACACCTATTGATCCTATGTAGTGAAAATATATTTATGGCTACAACTTGCCGGCACTAGTTTATCGAACTCTTAAGTCATCGCTCAGGCTAAGAAAGCGAAAACAAATCGCCGAATCACTTCATTGTGGCTTTTTCTCCGTTTCAGCGCTTCTGATCAATTTTAAAACAGTTAAATAACTCTCCGGCTGTTCGGCACTTAGACTACGCGACAGTCATTGCGCAAGTTTCAGTTTCTGTGAGACTCAGGTGAAGGTTTGTCATTGTTACTTATTTTCATCGATGAAATCCATTGGAGCGCGAGCACGAAAATTTTTACACTGCGCAGTCTAATAGAAAGAAAAAGAAGAAGAAAGTTCAACTGCACATATTGATAAAGTGTAACGAAAGAACATCATATATTTCAGCCGTGCCCTTTGATTTCCAGAACTGACCAATTCTCTGTACCGAATGTTGCCGATGTAGGAGATATTACTGCCATGGTGCTTAGAAGAGATGAATACGGCTGGTTCCCAAAGTGGCAGCTTGATCGAGTGAGTGAATAGTAATTGATTCTCTTCTCAAGGGAGTGCTAAACAAAAACGAGACAATTCGCTGAGTAAATGTAGTCCGATTCTCCGTCGAGACTAAATGGGAAATTTAGTCTTGACGGAGAGAAATCATGTTTATCTCTACTTCCATTCATGAGTGTAAAATTGTTCAATAGTCTATCAAACTAAGGCTTGCCATGTGAGAGACGATGCAACAGTTTCAAGGGGACCTTCACAGTAACCTCCAATAGAGGTCCTACACTAACGTTGTGCTGATCTTTTAAGACACGTCAGGGTATTCTGTCGTCTAGAAAAAGAATAAATAGATTTAGGCGTGCGAGACTGTTAAATGTTTCCAAGCATCCCCTTCGTCATGTCAGTTTAGTCCTCTATGTGCCTTGGCACATAACTTTATCGCTACTTAAAACGGGTCATTTTGAGGGAAGTTTAACAAGACCAGTTAATTCTTCCTGCCATACCTTTATGGCTATCTTGCATAACAATTACCAAAAATGATAACTTTGCAACCCCCCCCCCCCTTCTTTACATGTTACAATAGCATACGTGGAAACAGAAGTATAGGGATAGTTGAAATCGCTGACGCACAATTACCTAAGTCGTCAACAGGAACTTTCTTCAGGTGGCTGTATATATTAGGTTTTAGACAAATTTTAAACTTTCTTGAGTCCACTAGCATATACGATTCTTAGATAATCGACCCCACAAGCTTTACAGCTTCAACAGTTATCCTATTAAATGGAGTTTTTGATTGATTGGAACTCGTTCCCAATCTCTGACGTAATTTCTACTTTAGAAGAGAGGAGAGAGGGGCGAAAACTGAAAATTTTCTTCCTCCAATTCATCAACTTTTGTTAATTCCGAAAAAGCATATCATGTGTTACAGACTTAAAAATTTTTCATCTCATTAATACTAAAGTACTTTTCAGCAGTAGATGTGAATGGGGCTCTGAATGGATACAGAGAAATTCATTGCTTTTCGTTCGTGTTGAAAGTCCTTGTCAAGGTAAGGAACTCTCAGAAGTGACTGTTTCTCAATACAGTGACTGGACAAAGCCTTACAGTTGGTTTACAATTCAAGGTATAAATTTTTTCTTGGACATTATCTGTTTGCCTCGAACTTTGCTCTCGGAAATCTGTTCACTTACCGGGATAGATAATTGATAATATCCGACTCTTTTTTGGCGCCAAAAGGAGGCGTTTGTCTTTTTATTAGTGGTACACAATCACATAGATCTCACTGCCTCTGAAGTTAAGGTGGTTTCCACCCTAATTACATTATCATTTGTTACTAAGATGCAGGCTGGATCTTTCTGAAACTTTCTTTGGAATTTTTTTCCAGTTACTGTAGTTTCCGGAAGAACAAAACCAGTGGAGTTTGTTTTGGACGTACGTTGATACATATTAAAAAGTATACTGCTGTAAATTGTACTCGCAAGGTATATCGATAAATTATCAGGGTTTACTATGAGATCTAAAAAGAGGACTTCTGTTTTCGTTTTCCTTTTCAGTTTTAAGCTTGCAATTTGTGGATCACGTCCTGTAACACGAATCTCTGGTGGTTCCGAGGCACTTCGAGGAGCCTGGCCGTGGTAGGCCATGCTGCGGATATTCACAGTTTATGACCGTGCAATGTTCTGTGGAAGTTCCTTGATATTGCCCCAATGGGTTCTTATCACAGCTTACTGTGTTTATGAAAAGAAGGCGTCAAACATCTTTGTCAGGTATAAAGCGTAAGCGATGATACAGTGACGAAGAACATATAGCTGCAATAAAGTGGTTCGAAAACCTTACTTTAGAAATGGCAGTTTCCATTGTTTTCCAAATAACTGAATGATGTACAACTTGAAAAGCAACGCTGCCTTTTTACGTAGTGCGTATTGGTCAGTTGCATGGTGCGGGATGCAATAGATTGGATGCAGGTTGTTGGTCAAAACTCCACAGAAGTATGAGAAAAAATAAAAAGACTTTCAACAACTGTTCACAGCGCGAAAAAACTTCCCGCTCACGTTCCAAGCCCCTGAAAGTGTTTGGCACCAAAAGTGCCCCGTTCTTTAGTGGCTCATAGCTTTTTTTCTACTTTAAAAGCGAGTTGGACTTTGTAAAGTGATCCAGATGTGTCTCTATCGCTAACCTGGAGCAAGTCAGGTCGTTCTCATCCCCTCACTGTCTTCTTTGCATGTTAACTCGTCTCACACTTGGTGGTGGTAGTTCGTTACCTTTGTCATCCACTGGTCGATATATGATTTATTTTATTTATTTTTGATCAACAGGCTTGGCGACTACCACAGGGTAAAAACCCTTGGCACAGAACAACACATCTCTGTTGAAAATATTTTTATTCTATCTGAAATACTATAGGCCGAACCTTTTCTCTAACGACTTGGCTTTGTTAAAGTTAACTCGCCCCGCCAATTTGTCTCATGGGGTCGGTATGGTTTGTCTTCCAGATGAGGATTTGCCTTTGCCTATTGACCAGACAGGATGGATTACTGGTTGTGGCTACCTGGAGATTTCTTCAGGAAACTAAAGCAAGCTCCCATCCCCTTCGTCCCAAGAAAAAAAAAATGCACCGCTGATCATCCAAAAACAGCCCCTGATGAATCTATGCCATATGCTGGTTCTAAGATGACTGGTGTCAGCGGGTGCCAGGGTGATACTGGAGGACCTCTCGCGAGAGAGGTTTGCGGAAAGTGGTGCCTTGAAGGTGCATTTAGCTGGGGAGCTAATCGCTAGCCTGTGAATGGATACAGGCATCACATGTATTCTAATATTAGGTACTTGAGAGAATGGGTTGATACGGTAATAGGGGAAGATCAATATGCATAGAAAAAGAACTTAATGCAGGGCTTACGCAAACATACGATACTTCCTATAAATCACCATATAGCAGACATCAGGTAACTTATGGGGACATCTCAATTACATTATTTTAAACTAATATGGGTTCTAACGGTTTATATTATACAATTTTGCACCAATCCGCAACATTGGGTGTCATTCAGTAAGAAAAAGTGACTTTATTTAAGTTGTAGTTTCAATTGAACAATACGGACTTGTTGAACTAAACCGCGTAGAACTAAGCCAGGCAACGGAGAATGCAGATGTAAACACAAGATAAAAAAAAACGTGTTCTATGACGCCCCCTAGTTGAAATCAAAGAGGCGCCCCAAATTAGAAAAGATCATCGAAAAAAATCCTTACTTACAGGGCTAGAGAATTGACACCAAGTTTTCATTCACAAACCAAATAGTGAAAAGTTCCTTGAGGACGTCTTCGTCGGAATATGGGCCTCACCGAAACACATCGCCACATTATGGCCATATTGCAAAGGTCAAAACCTCAAAAGAATTATGGGTGAGTCTGCGTATATAAAGTTACTTGCTTTTGCCTTCAACGAAAGAAAGTTGCTCGCATCGTATCTGCATTTATACTAGTCTTTGAATTTTCGTGGCGAATCAGCCCCAAAGTTCCGTGCTTTTTTTTTCCAAACACTCCAGTAACGTCATTCCACTGATATCAGACCTGCACTGAAATGTGTGTCAAACTTTATGTTTTGGTTGTTTATTTTTTGGGAAGCTAAATTTCTAAAATAATAACAAGGTCCAACACTCCCTTAGGACAAGCATGAGGTTACAGTTACACGTTGATCTCTTCGATAATCAGCTGACTTATTTCCTGTCTTACATTTATCAATCTCAACTTAACAGAAAATTAAACAAAAAAGGATAACGATAGTTAACTGTGCTCGTTTTGGAAAAAATGACGATTTGTCTTCTGCGACTTCTAGCCATATACTAGGGTATCTAAGAGATAGTAATGCTGTGGCACATTCTATTGATAGCGACATAGTTTACGCAGAGATTCATTTGCCTATGCGTTCCACGACTTAAATTAACCTTTATTTCTTAAAATAGTGTCAAATTCTGGGGTGTTTCCAAAACTAAGACTTAGGACGACCCATCTCACCTCAAATGATATTCTGTCCGAGCACTGGATTGCAGGTTTTGTTAGTTCATTGACTACATACTAAGATGAACTGAAGTTCTTTTTCTTTTTCTTTTCTTGAGGGAGAGAGGAGGGGGGGGGGAGTCGTAATTTATGAAGGATACCAAGCAGGAGGTTTTGAGAAACGTATCTCTGCAGTTATTTTTTGCGGGAGAGAAATTATGTTTAAAAACAAAGAAACGGAACCCGGTCTCAAATTACTTACTAAAACAACATTACTTGCGTTTGTCATCGAGAACGAAAGAATTCCCGACAAAGAGGTTCAAAAATACTTCTACACATTCAGAATTTGTCAAATTACATTAAGTATAATGAAAGAAAAAAGAAATTAAACGGCTTAACCGTCAATCTTTCAATTTTGGCCACTTTCACAGCCATATTGAAGATAACGCTACCACAGTGCAACGCAATCTTAGCGCGCACACCGCCTGTGCCTGCTCTAAGTGAAGTACTGTTTTAAGTACAGACAATGAATTCTGGTAAAAAGTGATGAATTCGAGAATTCAAACCCCCTTTATATATTTTTAAATCCTGAATATGTTGCTGCTCGCTCGCTACACTCGCTGCGCACGCTGCGCACCAATAAAATGCCTAATTTTTAATTGACGCCCAGTGAGCATGCGTTAGATCATGCGCATTAAGGAAACATAATGCAATACCAAAGAATAACCTCAACATTCATGTGTTGTGCAGACTAACATACTTCTGTTGGTAATGATAGCCCAGTATGAAATAGAATTTTTAAACTCCAACAGCTATCGTCCTACAAATGATCAACATTAAATGTATACTCCCTTCCTTTACGAGTGTATAATAAAAGCTCTCAATTGATTTGTGTAAAATATTCACTCTAAAATAGCCACCCTTAACGTTAAAGAACATCTACCAAATACTGTCCAGTCGTGTAAATTAGCTACACATCTTTACGTTTTATTGCTATTTGCAATTCGAGACATTTCACTCACTTCCTTCTGTGTTCACCAATGAGTCCCACTTGTCGAACTCTGCTACCATTCCATGTTTCAAAACTAAAAATTTATCACAGTCTTTGATGGTCTTCAATCGATGAGCTATCGTGATGACCGTGGAATCCCTCAGCTTTTGACGCACCACGCCCCAGATTGTTTCTTCTGTTTCTGGATCTACATTGGCCGTGGGTTCATCCAAGACGATGATCTTGTTTCGCTGCAAGAGTACACGAGCCAAACAAATCAAATGTCGTTCTCCTACACTGATGTTTGCTCCATTTTCCAATAGTTTGTGATCAAGTTGCCCGTGAAGACTTTTCACAAACTCTTTCAATTGTACATCTTTTAGAACTTGCCACAAATCTGCATCTGTAAACTGCTCAGTAAGGTCGAGATTTTTCCGCAGTGATCCGCTGAACAGAACTGGACTTTGGCCAAGAACGGATATGCGTCGTCGAGTTTCCTGCAGGTTAATTTCCTTTATTGGAATACCATCAATGATTATTTCGCCAAAAGATTCAGGCATGCGCATTAGAGCTGCCACAAAAGATGACTTTCCAGCACCCGTCCGGCCGGCAATACCGACCTTTGTACCTCCTTTGAAATTGACTTTGATCTTTTTCAACACTTGTGGTCCTCCAGGATAATATGTCAATGAGACGTCTTTGAATATGATGTTTCCTTTACTTGGCCAGTTTTCCGGCGGTCGTTGTTCTATCCTATATCCAGGCTCGAATTCAAGCTTTGCATACGTAATAACTCGTTCAACTGACGTCATAAAATTCTCGACTTCCGCTGTTCTTCTGACGGCGATTTGAGCCGGCCCAAATTTTTGCACGACATAAGCCAAGGCAAGTCCAGCAAAAGCTGATAAACCGAAAAATTGGATATTGAGATAAATTGGAGTTAGATTGTACTAAAGAAGATCCTAACTGAATTTTTACATTAATTAGTCAAAATAATATCTAGTCATTCGCCGCCCTTGTCGTAGTAGGTGATGAAAGGCAGTGTAGGGGAGTTGACAAGGCTAGATTCATTCATAGGGACCGCTGCAATTGCCAGAATGGAGGCTCGTTTGAATTGCACGTGGAAGTGGCTCCGAAACTTCTCTCGGGTCTTTGCGAATGCCTTGTACTACGCCTTTTACTGATCACCATAGTTCTGATAAGCTGGTGTGGCTGATTTGATTTTATTAAGGTTTCAGTAACTATTTTAAAGAGATCTTTATCAGATTTATAGGCTTAGTCTTGTATTGATACATACTCACCAGCATCTTGCGATACCAAAACAGCTGCTAAAGCCACCGCGCCAACAAACAGTGAAGAAATAATCTCAAAGCGNTGGAGGTTGTATTAAAATTTGGTCAACATCTTAGGGACGGGAATAATTTTCCATTAATCACTGAAACAACGCGCTTAATTCTCCAAAGATAATGGAAAAAACGTCAGAGCCTCTGGTTCATTAATCCCCGCCTCTTTTTGTAAGTGGGGACCGCATCCTCACTTTTCTAGTAATTCATACAAACTCACCTTTAAAACTGCTCCACAAAATCGCTTTGTCTCCCTCTGGTTCGAATCGTGTCCAGTCCATTAAGAGTCTCCGAAATGTGAGCGAACACCGGACTACGACATATGGACGCTAGCCTCATTAGTTCCCGGGATGTCTTCAAATAATACGTGGAGAGGTATATAGCTACCAATATCAACGGTATGAGAACGAAAACAAGCCAAGGATTCGTAAGAGTCGGGACAATTATTGATGCAAATACAAGAAAAACTGTTTCGACTGCCGACTGAAATGATCTGGGTAACTGCTCGTCCAAGCAGCCAACATCTCTAGAAAATCGATTGAGGATTCTTCCCACAGGATTCGAATCAAAGAACACAACGGGAGCTTGTAAAATAGCGACGACCATCTCGTCATGAAGACGCTTAGAGCATCGTAAAAAGCAGGAGAGTAATAGAAATGTTCGTGCCGATGCAAGTATGAGTGCTACACAAACAAAACATCCATAGACTATTAAGTTTGATCGATGTTTTTGATGTTGAGGGAGTTGCTTTGTCAAGAACGAGAGGTACACGTCAGGAGCAGCCAATAATCCTGAAAAGAAAACGTCAACGGAGTAAAACTCAAGCTAAAACTTTCTATGTGTCAATTGTGAGTCGGATGAGTTGGCTTGCAAGCGAGACACAGACGTGTTAGGGGAAAGAAAATGGCATGGCCTTCGTTTCATCAGCAATTTGATACACTTAAGAATTTTGTGCCACTTCTTAAGGTCAATATTGCATGCGAATGTTAAGATTTTCTAGCCACACAATGCATGAAAGTGAGAGGTCTGCGATTTTCCAAAATTTTTGGCCAGTGCAGCACCAACGTCAAATACCGTTGCGTGTTATGTAAGTTTCCCTAACTTAGGGGAAACGTTTTTGTCAAATCCTTTTTCTTAACATTGATACTTCTTAAACAATGAAGTGAAGGTCCTATAATTTTTCAGTCTTAAATGTGCAGCTACCTCACGACACATCCACACGCCAAACGGCAAACCATCTGACCTGGAACACAGTTAGAATGTTCCTGTTTACGAAGGAACATATCTCCAAAAATTTTCACGCGGACAAAATTTTAGCTCACCGGCACATGGACTATTACATTGTGCATAGTAAGGTTATTCTGTCGGGCGCTGATTTCGAATGACTGTTGTTAAGTTAAAAACCCATGAGATCACAGCCAAGCAGAAAAAAAGTAACATATCACATTGGAGAATTCAAATCAAAGACAAGTAAACTGCCTGAGGTGCGGAAACTCTTTTGAGTGACCAAGCCGAAATTTATTCAAGTCCCACATGTGTTTGATTTAGAGATGAGGTGATTTTTTTCTGAAGCGATTTAAGCCAAGAACTAAAGCAACTCTGGTGCATATAAGGATTACTTTCCACAGAGAGCTCTTTGGAAAAGGCTTTTTTTAAAACCCTTACCTTGGACTATTATGATGAAGAGGATTATTGCGACAATCATCCAAGTATCCATTCCGCTTCTGAAATAGTTCCAGTAAAGCTTGGAAGAAATTACTCCGATTTCGCGATCTTCTTGCGGCATAAGAAGACTCCTGATTTCTTTCGATGGATTTTCAGTTCCAATCAAGTTGCCAGCAGCTTCAAGATTTCCAATTTCCTTCTCTATTGTAAATTCCTCACCTGAACTTCCTTTTGAAATCTTCTTGTAGAGGGGGTCAATGGTGTTATTAAGGATTCCTTTGTCTTGCAACTCAAGGAAACTTCCTTTCTCCAGTACACGCCCCTTACACAACACGATCACTTCATCAGCGTCTTTCATGTGATCTTCGTGATGAGAGGTCATCATCCGAGTTTTATCGCCTAGTAGTTCTTTGACACATTTTTCAAATATATGTTGTCCAACTTTGAAGTCTACGGCGCTTAGAGGATCATCCAGAACGTACACATCTGCATCAGCGTACACTGCACGTGCTAAGCTTACCCTAGCTCGCTGGCCACCGCTCAAAACAACTCCGCGTTCGCCGACGCCTGTTTGATCAGTATCAGGAAGCTGCTGGATGTCGTCAGTCAGAGCGCAAGCTTCAATTACTCTGGTGTATTTTGACTCCTCGTATGACAAACCAAAAAAAATGTTGTCTCGTATGGTTCCAGAGAATACCCAAGCCGTCTGGGGAACAAACACTAAAGTTCCTTGGCAGGATACTTGGCCGTGTGTGCATGAAACTTCGCCAGCGATCACTGATAGAAGAGTAGTTTTCCCACAACCAACTGGTCCGGTGATGACTGTTAAACTACTTGCAAGTGCGCAAAACTCGATACCCTGAAGAATGTAGGAGTCTTGTCGCTCCGTTTGCTTGTACGCCAAACTTCTCACACGTAAAATCGTTTGATCTTGTAATTCATTCGTAGTGGAAACATCTCGCAGTTTTTTGTGACAATCTGAATTCCTCTTCTTCTCAGATGGGTTTTCAGCTTCACTTTCTGTTTCTTTTCGGCTTGAACAATCGCTTGAATTGACGCGCAAATTTTTCAAAAGGAGAAATTCTTCAATTCTACCGAGCGAGGCATAAGCTTCATATCCCTCTAACAAGGCAAACCCAAGGTAAGAGCAAATGCATATCACAAGCATGTTGTTGAATGAAATCAGCATAAAAACGTTGACTGGTGTAAGAGTTTCTTCAGTCAACAGAAGGGTAATGACTGATAGCAGTGTTGCAATGGAAATTGAAGAGAATCTTAGGGCCAAAACACCTGCGCGAACTGCACACATCTTTCGAATAATGGAAATTTCTTTTCTGAAAAAAGAATAGAAGCAAAATTGGGAAATTTTGAAAACCAGACAGCTATAACTTACATACTTAGCGGTCTGGGCGCTCTAGGCGGTCTGATTGGTTGGCTACCTAAAAATTGTGCCAATCAACAAAACTAATATTATGATATTAGTTAGCTAACCGCCTCCCGGTTAGCTCAATTGGTTAGAGGGCTGGACTGTTGTGCGGGAGGTCGAGGTCGATGGTTCGAGCCTCGGCCGGACCAACACTCAAGGTCTTAAAATAACTGAGGAGAATGCGCTACCTTTCTATAATATCAAGAAATGGATGGACATTCTAGTCTTCTCGGATAAGGACGACTAAACCGTAGGTCCCGTCTCCTGCATCTATTAATTAGTTAATTTGGTTACGCAGGGGACGTTAAAGAACCCACTCACGAGATTACTGTGATGTGGTTTGGCCTGTTTACTGGGAATTGGGGGGGCATCTTCAAATAAGTTTCCTTTGATTGTTTGTAAACTGCTGATGCAGTCCGGCCAAAGCCCACCGAAAAGTGTTGTGATGCGCATTTGATCATATCCACATGTTAATTTGCGCAATATAAATATATAATTATTATTATTATTATTATAACTAGCTTGGCTCGAAATATGGAAATAGTGGCTGTTAAAAAAGAAATTGGTTTAGCTTCATTTGGCCCAAAGAAAAATGAAATTTAAGTAAGAACAAGAACAATATCAGTTCATCTTAGGGTCTCTTTACCAACCATGATATCTTTACATACCTTCGGGTACTCCTGATTTGTTGCCGGTATTCATCTTCCCAGGCATGTATTTTGAGAGAACGTATCCCAGAAACTACCTGGTTCATGAGAGAGAGGCGTTGATCAGAGACCGCTGCTGTACGCAAGCGCAGAACAGCGCCCCCTCGGGACAGTAGGAGGTAATATGGAAGGAGGAGATACAAAAATAGTACTCCCACGAGAGACTGCCAGCCAATAAAATACACCATTAAAAAAGGTACGATGAGGAGCTCAATGAGTGAAATGAAACCCAGAAATATCCACTTGATAGCCTCTCCTTCCAATCGCTGAATATCGTTTGAAACTAGGTCAATCACTTTACCAGTTGTGTACTGGAACAATGCGTCTTTGCTTAGTAAAAGTGTCTGGAAAAGGGAAATAATTTCGTTAAATAAAAACAGGAGCATGGCTATAGAACTTCTAGTCTTTTGATTGGCTGGACGGAGCCATGTTATGCACCTATAACGTAGCTCTTAGCTCATAACTTAACTCCGACAAATAAGGTAAATTAATTTGTCTGTGAAGTGAGAAAAACATTTCTGGAAGCGAGCAGTGAAGCAATGATTAGTTTTTCCTGGAGCTTGCAATTAAGAAAAACGTCTGTTAGAAAACAAAACAGCCTTGCTCAAGTCCATCTGAGCTGTCATTCATCACTTTCTTTTCTCGCCTCCTCCCGATAAACCGTCAGTTCAATTTCCACATGAAAACGTTTCAGTTTTGGCTTCTTCAGACTTTCACAATGTCGACTTTGTCATTGAAGGACATGAACAAATACACAGCGTTCGTACTGTCTATTCATTCACCGGCACGAAGTTGTCAATCATGTTTTTTTTTATTTTTGGAACTAAAATTGCTACCGGTCGTTATCAAACCAATGCAAATAATAGCTGGTTGATAGAGTTATTCATCAGTTGTGTGCGGTTTTAAAAAAAAAAATTCTTCTTCTCAGACCTTCGCATGTCAACTGAATTATCACACCCTCTAGAAAGATCTTTAGATCCTGGTAAATATACTTACCTTATGATAAACAAGACCTTTTAGTGCACTACTCAGTGTTATTCCTAATAATTCACATCTGTACATAAGCATTTGGGCTGTGACTCTCTCCATCAAAGCGCTGAAAAAAAGAGCGAGCGCACAACCATAGAGAAGTATTTTCTGTGGCTCAGAAAACATCAGCGCTGAAAGTAGATATCCAAGGAGCAGAGGGGAGGGAATACGGAAGAATGAGCGATAAAAACCCATATAAATGAGGATCATTTGCTCCCTAAAAGAGATTGTTCTTATGACACTTTTCCAAAGCTTTGGTCGTCCTCGAGTTTCATGGCATTTTCTCTCTTCCTTCCTCCAGCACTCTTGAAGCTTTTCGGTTAGGAATGAAGTACGATTTTCTTCTGAAAGAGGTAAAAAATCACTCTGCTCCAACGCTCGTTGTTTGCCTGTCTCGAAGACACTGTTCATCCATTGAAAGAGAACATAAGAAACAAAGCTGGCATTTTGCGGAGCTTTTTCGTCGACTTGGAAAATCTTGTGGTACCCATGCCTTGTCATCTTCGGGTTCAAAACAGGTTACACTGTAATATGACATTAAAGGGAAAACGTTAAGTCAGAGCATAGAGCATCAACTGTAAATTCCTCAAAGGAATGGCTCTAGAGTTTTGGCCTCGGTGCGGTAAGGACCTGCGTCTTTTAGACTACTTATGCTTGATAATCTCAGTCATGCAGTGAACAAAAGGAATAACGAACGAGTGTTAGTGCGCGTATTCTCGTTAACTGGTGAGATTTTTTTGCCATAGAAAACAAGGTCAATTTTCGAGGCTGCCAGAACCAGGTCATTTTTTCGAAGGTCAATCCGGATTGTTAAGATTTCGTTCGGAAACAGTCTCCTTTCTACTAGACAAAACAAGCACCGAAAATCGAGCGAAATTACGAGTTCATGCTGAAAATGAAATATTCCCGAACTTAGAAATATATTTTCCCGTCCGTGGGTTCATATGATGGCACCTTAAGGCCAGTAGATTGCTCAATGAACGCGATATCCTCTCGTTTTTCCCCATACTTACAACTTTTTGAAATGTTTAGAACACATTCTCGTCAACATGTCTCAGACAGTGTTGTTATTTTGCAAGAAGTACCTTAGACTAGAGTTAACTCTGGTTAGACAAGTTGACATGTTGAACTTCCCGGGATTCTCCTTATAGCAGTGAATGATGTCGCATAAGTGGTGAACATGTAAACCTCGTGAATCATCGCGCAGAATCTCAATTCGCTGGAAGAAAGTTACCATTTATATCAATACCCTAATTTTAAACAGCTGCGTGAATTTGTCCAAGATTTACTTACATTGATTGAAAGTCAAATATCGATGACAACTTCTAGCGAGTTTCTGTGGTGTGCAGTTGAGGTAGAATGATTTGGTGAAATTCATCACCTATTTGAATTCCCAAACGTTACGATTATGATCTGTCATTTCCAGCATCGTGAGAAGTTTACCTTAAAGGTAAAACATTTCAAGACCCTGCATATGGAAAGATAAGCTTTCAGATCACTAATTACATTCAAAAATAGAATTATCTTACCCCTTCAGGGCCCTAGCAACGCATCCATTAAATGTCAAGAATTCCATTCCCTTTTCTCAGTTTCTTAGAATTCGTCGCTTATGTAGTGATGACTCTGATTCTCAAAAGATCAGAGGCAATGTGCCAGTTTTTCGAAAAACGTGGCTATCCTGTTTCTGTCGTTCAAGCGGGCCAGTACCGCGCCCAACTTATTGATCGACAGTCAACACTACCAACGTCACAGAAGGAGAATTCCGACCGCGTTCCATTCACTCTCACATTTCTCCCTCACAACCACGCAGTCCAATCCATTATTCTTAAAAGCTTTAATAACTTCAAAACGATCCAGAGACTGGCACTATCTTTTCGCAATCTCCACTTA